TATGCTTTATCTGGTTGAGTCAAACTTGAGCCTGTCATACCTGCTTTGCTGTTTACAAGCATATCTCCCTCGTTGCTTTGCCTATCAATTCCTGTACAATTCCCTGTGCCAGTACATATATGTCTGTGTCCTCACAACTTGTGTCTACTCGTCCAGTGCTTGGTTCATTAATCCAGCTGGAGAAGGTCTTGTCTCTGCGTTGTTGGTGTTCTGCTAGACTTCCACCAATGAATTGGCTAGCCATCTTTTTTTTAAAGTTAGTCCCTCGTATTCACGAGTCACCTTGGCCTCTTCAGCTCCTGACTTCAACTTTAACACTTCCTGAGAGCTTCAAGGTCTTGGGCTTAGGTCCTGGGATGCTGCCGGGTTTCTTCATGACAAATGTTGGTCCTGGACTAAGCCAGAGGATTTAGGGGCTTCTAACTCAAACCCCAAGAAGCCCGGAGGCCAACACCCTCCAAACCCTAAACCCTCGAACAAAAACGTGCAAACCCCTGGGCAAACCCTGAGCACTGAATCCCTGAAACCCTGAACCCTGAAAACCCCAAAAATCCCAAACCCCCTTGTGCCTCCATAACTCCTTCTGCCACAGCCGACCCTCACAGCGAAGGCCTGGGTTTATGACAGAAGTTGGGGGCCCGAAGAGCTTCTTGCAGAAGCCCGCCTACAGCCGGGTCTAGGGGTTAGGGTTTAGGGCTAGGGTCTAGGTTTTAAGGGTTAGGGCTACATTGTTGGGCTTTCAGGTTTAGGGCTTAGGTTTAGGCTTTGAGGTTTGGGGCTAGGGTTGGGGCGGTTAGGGTTTAGGTTTGGGTTTAGGCTTTGAGGTTTGGGGCTAGGGTTTAAGGTTTCAGGTTTAGGGCTAGGATTTAGGCTTTCAGGTTTAGGGCTAGGGTTTTTCAGTTTTAGGGCTTGGGCTTCATTAGGCTTTGGGTTTAAAGCTCAGGGCTGTGAGTTTGGGATCACAGAAGTTGGCGCATAGGGTATCACTCGGGATTTACGCATTCTGAGGCGGGTCATCTTATCTATGGCTTCTTCTTTGAAACTCATAACCGACTGACAAAGTCGGGATCAGGAGAGGGGGATCTTGGGCTCCCGGGTGTAGTGACTTAGGGCTCAGAAGCTTAAGGCGTGTGCAGGGACGAAGGAGCGTTTTGACTGAATTAGTTCGGGGGGGGCGAATAATTAACGAGCTTTAGCCCCTTTACAAGTAGAGTGTAATCCGCCAAAGCCTTTTTCTAAACCTCATGGCCCTACAATGGCTATTTAGGGTTCAAGATCGGACACGGAAACCACAGACCTTTCCTGCGCAGTCAGCTAAAGCAGTTACAGGACCTTCTTTCGACAATCCCCAAACCCGTTTGTCACCACACACTTATGCTGTCACACCTAAATCACAGCGCAAAACATAACATGACAAGCTCCAAGCCCTAAATCACATCAAGCACTAAAGCCCTACAAAGCCTGTTTCCAGCTACTCAAACGAAACACCATGAGTTTAAGGATACCCTAAACCCCCGAAAGACAAGACACTGAGTTTGAAGATTGCCTAAAACTCGACATCACTGCAGCTGGGGGGCCACAGCACGGGGAGGCGGCAAAGCGCGGATGCAGCAATCACAGCAGGGGGGCATGGAATGAAACTATATAAGCCTTATACTAACCCTAAACCCGGTTGTGATAGCAGGCTTAGGGTCCGGCGCAAGGGTTAGGGTCCTGTTTCGGGTCAGTCTAAATCTGTGTGTGCGTATATATAACTATCTATATATATATATAGATAGATAGATAGATATATATATATATATACATCACAAAAAAACATGTATATATAATATCTACACATATAATGTGCATTTAGATATACGTATGTATGTATGTATGTGTATACATATATACACACATACATTTACAGTTGTGTATAGACACAGACAGATAGAAAAATAGATTAATAGGTAGGTCGATCTATAGACAAGCTGCGGCCGAACTTTCAATGTTCCGAGCAGGGCTTGGGGAGCATGTGGTGCAATAGGGTTTAGGGTTTAGGGTTTAGGGGCAATAGGTAGCCACGGCTTTTTAAAAAGAGGAGTGACAATGCCAATGGTGCAACTCCAATGATAAATGCAAACACTTCAATGAGGCAAGGGCGGCGGCAGTGGTTCCGGTGGTTTAGCTTGGAGCAATTAGGGTTGTAACTGGCGCTGAGAGCTTAGGGTGCAAAGGACTTCACTCGCGGCCACCATATGTGAGGACACAACTTCTTGTGTGGTTTAGGGCGGTTCCTGCGCATGGCAGACTGACGAGAATAAGGAGACCGAGTCAAGCCAATATTATGAGGACTTTAAAAACTAGAACAGGGCTGGGGGGTATATGATAGTAGAAGTGTATCAAGGGGCCACCATATTACTCGTGCGCACATGCTGCACGTGCCCAAGGTCCCCTGAACCCCGGACGGGCAGTGAAACAGCACCGCGGTTTTTCGCGAAATCGACGGTGAGCCATCGAGCTTTGCCTAGCTCAGGGTGGACGGAAGTCTAGAAACCATCTGGGACGATAGGACTTGGAGCTTAAGTGCCGTAGTTTCTCGAGTGTGTTCCTGAGCCTATACTCCAAACCCCGAAAACCCTAAACCCTGAAACCCCTAAACCCCTAAACTCAACAAGTTCGGAACCTGGAGCTGGAAATTAGAAGCCTTGCAAGTGACACTTTGTTCACAGCACCGATTCATTTCAGGCAGTCTGGAGGTGTAGGGCCTGAAACTGTCCCAAGAACGGGAAGGACTCCTGCAACAACTACAAAAGCCAAGCTACTTGCAAAGCCAAGTAAATTACCTTGCCGAATACGGGTCACGATGCAAAAAGCCAGGTTGTTAATCTGGCTACAGGTAAACCCTAAACCCTGGGACGTGCCTTCTACCCGCCCATCAACCTAGAAACTAAACAAACCCTGAGCCCCCGTGTAGAATTCTTCTGCAAGCCTAAGTATAAGGAATTCAACTGGCAACCTTCGGGTTGAAATGTTGATGTTAAACCCTATACACCCTAAACAGGGTTGAGGGTGTAGATCTAAGCCTAAACCCTAGAATATAAGCTATAGATGACAGTCAATATCAACCCTATCATAAAAAACACCCTATAGAAGCCCCGTCGACACAACCTAATTTCCCCAGCAAGCCCTTCAAAACAAAAGGTACGCCTTTTCCTGCAAAATTCAGTTTTCATGAAGAAAGCCCAAAATAGCTCTGGGACGGCCTAAACCCTAAACCCTAAACCGCCGAAATACCTCCCACTCCTGGCCGGGCTGCTTAGCTCAAATCGGGGAGTCGCCGCTCGTCGGGCGCAACATGCCGCCGGGGAACAGGAAGGTCCTGGGCACGGGGGTTTTGGGTTTAGGGGTTTAGGGTTTTGGGTTAAGGCTTATACGGCTTTGGGTTTAGGAGGGTTTACAGACAAGGGGTTTAGGGTTAATTGTGGGTTTAGGGGTTTAGGGTTTGGAGGGCTGAAGAGTCTTGCTGAAGAGTTTCCCTAGCGTTTTATAGGTAACTCGGCGTTGGGTTTTGGTTTGTCGGGTCTAGCGTTTAGGCTTCATACCGCTCCCAGGCTCGACCCTCAACAGGCAGTCTGGAGGTGTAGGGCCTGAAACTGTCCCAAGAACGGGAAGGACTCCTGCAACAACTACAAAAGCCAAGCTACTTGCAAAGCCAAGTAAATTACCTTGCCGAATACGGGTCACGATGCAAAAAGCCAGGTTGTTAATCTGGCTACAGGTAAACCCTAAACCCTGGGACGTGCCTTCTACCCGCCCATCAACCTAGAAGCTAAGTGAACCCTGAGCCCCCGTGTAGAATTCTTCTGCAACCCTAAGTATAAGGAATTCAACTGGCAACCTTCGGGTTGAAATGTAGGTGTTAAACCCTACACCGTAAAATCGGGTTGGGGGTGTAGATCTAAGCCTAAACCCTAGAATATAAGCTATAGATGACAGTCAATATCAACCCTATCACAAAAACACCCTATAGAAGCCCCGTGGACACAACCTAATTTCCCCAGCAAGCCCTTCAAAACAAAAGGTACACCTTTTCCTGCAAAATTCAATTTTTATGAAGAAAGCCCAAAATAGCTCTCGGACGGCCTAAACCCTAAACCCTAAACCGCCGAAAAACATCCCACTCCTGGCCGGGCTGCTTAGCTCAAATCGGGGAGTCGCCGCTCGTCGGGCGCAACATGCCGCCGGGGAACAGGAAGGTCCTGGGCACGGGGGTTTTGGGTTTAGGGGTTTAGGGGTTTAGGGTTTTGGGTTAAGGCTTCTAAGGCTTTGGGTTTAGGATGGTTCACAGAGAAGGGGTTTAGGGTTAATTAAGGGCTTAGGGGCTTAGAGTTTGGAGGGCTGCGATAGCCTCAAGAGTCTTGACGAAGACTTTCCACAGGCTCTGCAGTCAAGTTGCTACCCCTAAGCAAAAGGGGGTACTTCATACGGGTGGTGATATACAAATCCTGCATTACCCACAATAAGGAGTAAGGAATTCTCCATAATTCCCATAGTTTTCGAGCCTTAAGGTATTGCAGGATTTATATCATCAACAGTAGGAAAGCATTTACCGAATCTTCGCCCTTCCGGGCGCCTGTTTACCTTCGCCGCTTCGAGTCCCAGGCCCGAAAATCCCAAACTTTCGGAACTCCCCAAACCCTGAACCCCCTAAGCCCTAAGCTTTAAACCCAAAGCCCTAAACCTTAAACCTTGAACCCTGAACCTTGAAGCCTAAGCCCTGAACCCTAAACCCCGAACCTTAAACCCTAAGCCCTAAACCTAAAACCTAATAAACCCTAAACCTTAAACCCTATAAGCCCTAAACCTTAAACCCAAAGCCCCCAACCTTAAACCCTAAACCTCAAGCCCCAAACCCTGAACGCCTAACACCCTAAACCCTAAACCTCAAGCCCTAAGCCCTAAACGCAAAAACCGGCCTCCAGTTCCAAAACCCTCCCCCCGTGAAGGGCCCAGGGCTCCGTGACGCGCTCGCAGACGACATGGGCGCCTGCCTGGTTCTCTAGGGATCTAGTAAGTTTTGGGGTTTTGGGCTTAGGGTTTAGGGTTTAGGGCTTAGGGTTTAGGGCTTAGGGCTTAGGATTAAATTTTGTAAAAAAGTGTACACGTTCAGTTCTAGAAGGGATAATATTATCCCAAAAAGTTTAAAGTGTCGCAATTCAGCTACTAAGAGTATGTTCTGGGGTTCAGGGCTTTGGGTTTAGGGTTTAGGGCTTAGGGTTTTGGGTTTTGGGCTTAGGGTTTAGGGCTTATAGGGCTTAGGTTTAGGGATTTCTAAACCATAAACCCTAAACGATTGATTGCACTTCAGGCTTGCTTTAGGGCTTAGTGGCCTGGAGACTTTGGGACGTGCATCTGCTAGCTCCTGTTTTGGTACGCAACCCAGATTCCATGGCTGGGATCCTATCCTTTATAAGCCTTAGTAGAGATCGAGAAGCAAGGTGAAGTTACATGGGAGAGGATAGGTAATACGGTAAGTCAACCACTCGAAAGCACCTGTAAAGCCCGACAAGGTCGCACCAGCAAACCCCTGGGATCAAACTCAACAAATGCTAAAGAACCCCAAACCCTGAACCCTAAACCCTAAGCCCTAACCCCTAACCCGAATCCCCATAAATCCGAAAAAAAACACGCTCGGGGAGCCCTCATCAGGTCGTCGAAACCATCAGCGCCACTCAGCACGCCGACCACGAGGCCACAACCCGCGTTGCCTCTGAAACTCTGAAACGTTAGGCCGCTGGGTGGTGTAGGGATTCTGTAAGGGTTCTGAGTTTGGCTTCGGGTTTTTGGTTTGGGGCTCTATCTTTTGGGCTACAAGGCTTTGGGGGGATTCATGCGCTGGGGGCTGCAAAGTCTTGGGCTCTGGGGCTTTGGGTTTGAGGCTGGGTTTTGCGGCTGTAAGGCCAAGAAGTTTTGAGGTTGTGAGCTCTGGGGTTCGAGTGCTGGTTTAGGGTGTTTTGGGGTTTAGGGTGGACCCTAAACCCTAAACCCTAAACCCTTTATAGGGTGTCTGAGACTGGGATAAGCTGAGGGTGGCAGAGGCCGGCGGATGCAGCAATGCGTCGGGAGTTAGCATTTAGGGACGGACACCACCACCACCACAACAACAACAAAAACAACAACAACAACAACACCAACAGCAACAGCAACAGCAACAGCAACAACAACAACAACAACACAAACAGCAACAACAACAACAACAACCACAACCACAACCACAACCACAACCACAACCACAACCACAACCACAACAACAACCACAACCCCAATCACAACAATCACAACAACCACAACAACGATAGCTAGTAATATGATGAGAATGAATGCTGCCATAGTCAGTCTGGCAATGTCACGATGGATCCTGCTCAAGCATGGAACAGAATGATAGAAGTAAGACTTATGACATCAGCACTTCAGAATGATCACTGATCTCTACATACTTGCGGTTGCGAACAAACGCCTGCCGAACAATCCCGATGCCCACAACACCTCACCAAAGAGAAGCGGGTTCAACAAGAGAGCCAGCAGCCAAGTCGCGACCCTCCTCAATGTCGCGGACAGAGTCACCCACTTTGCAGACCCGCTTCACATTCATCACCTCACCGACGGTGTAGGTTTTCATATTCCGCGGGTTTGGCGGAGCCAAGTTTACGTTTTTGGGCACTCGGATTAAGCTCAATAGCGATTAATCTGCACGTAGGTCCTTGGGCTTAGGGTTAGAATGATACAGGGTTCAGTATCCCGCGCCTAAGGATGCCTCCTGCCGACGTTAGCGGGTTCTAACATCACCATCCAGAAGCCTGCCTCCATACTCACTACTTCAGAAGAAGACTGACGTAAACCATATGCACACCTCCCTTAAACTGCATCGAAGAAAAAACTTGGCGCAGGCCTGCGTCCGCTCCATGAGATGGTGGATCATGTAAGGGTAGGGCCGGCCTTCAGTGACCTGCAAAGAAGAAATATTTCATGCTGTAGTAATAAAGTTCAGGAAACTAAAGAGTGTTTGGGAGTGGGGGGTTCAGGGCTTGGGGAGTTGGCGTCTGGGGAGCTGTCGTTTAAGATTGTGCCGGGGTCTGGGATTCTTGGATATGTCATGCGAGGTCCTGCACTCGGACGTGCAACGTACAAACACGACACTGAGGGTCTAGTATAGGGTTCAGAGTTGTCTGTTGGCCAACTAAGCTTTTCACCAAACCAGTGCGGTAACACTGCATCTGCGGTGCTCTTAGGCGCGATTGCGCGAGGCGTAGAAGTTTCACGGCTCCTGCTGGGGCACAGTGCGCATGCTGGGAAAAAATCGCTGTCTTTCCACACTCCGCGCTGCGGCCCGCCAGATTCGTGGTCTGCTTAGTCGAAAACCCCGAATCCCCAACACTCGATTTGTGCAAGAAAGACAACTTAACCTTCACGAGACCCCCGAAAGCGTGGCATTACTACAAGACCCTAAACCCTAAACCCTAGATCAGAGCATCTTCCTTCAGCCTCGAACCCTGTAGACTCGAAGTCCTATATTCTGAACTCTGCAGAACCTATTCTGCAAGCCAGCCGTTACACACACACCCTTCTGTCCCTAGCAACCCTTATAGGACCATACAGAACATTACGGAACCATCAAATCGCAGCCCCGAGAGTAACCACCTCGAAGTCCAAACCTTAAACCCTAAACCCTACCTGTAGTCTCCATTGTAGTTCCTTTTTGGGGTTACCTTTTAGGATCCTGAATTTAGAATTCGTTAAACCAAAAAAAAGAATTACAATGGAGACTGTAGGTGAGGAGCTCTGCCGGCCTGATAGGAGGAGATGTAAGCATCCGCAATCTTGTCAAAACCGAGCCGTTTGATTAGCCCTTTCCTTGCTTCGTGGCGTCGTCTACTCGGTGGGCAGGCTTTATTCGATTCAGGGCTTTGAGTTTTGTGGGTTCGGGATCGAAGGCTAAATGACCGGGGATTCTGCTGTTGGTGCATCATGCCTTGTTGATATCGTTTGCATGATGAACATAGGCAGTTCTCTAGAGTAGTGCCTTGTTTCGGGTCTCCAAGAGTACTTCACTGGTGGGACTACAGTGTGCCGGGAATCGAGAACCACTAGGGGGTGCAACTTGAACAGCAATCTTGGTCCCTTGCCCCGCTTGCCCCACTTGGGGGCATGCAACCTGAAAAATCATCTTGATCATCTCGGTCTAAACGGTAAACTAGTCGGGCAAGTGGGGCAAGTAGGGCAAGATGACAAAGATTGCAACATGACCCCCCCCCCAAAGATTACCAAGGTGAAGAGATGGCCGAGCAAGATGAAAAAACTGACACGATTGAAAGTTAACGGAGATGACCGGCAACATTAGTGGTTCTCAATTCCCGCCGCAATCTACTGCAGTAGTACAAGCCCTGGACATGGAACCACCGCCCCTGAATCCTAGACCCTGAACCTTGAACCCCCACCCCTAAGAAGGATCCGGGGGCTGTCCCCTAAAGTGCCCGAAACCGAAAACCATTCATTGCAGAATTGAGCCCTGATTTTGACGACATGACGATCACCCTAAACCCTAAACCCAATAAATGGAATCTCATCTGAGACCTACCAGAGCCTTGCTCGACCTCCCAGCTATATCCTATACCCCGTAATGTTGGTGCCCTGACGAGGGGTCCTTCAACGGCTCCCGTAAGGGCTTTTTATACAGGGTTTAAGGTCGTAGGGTTTAGGAACCTTAAGTTTATCTCTGCCTGTAATCACGCCAAAGCTTTCTGACAGAGTCCTGAAACTTCAGAAGAGCTGCAAATCCCACAGTCTGAAACCGTAGAATTCGAAAAAACTTGAAACATGAAAAGCCCCGCACTAGCTCCCGAAGCCCTTGAACTGGAGGCCTCCGTACGGTGGCCAAGAACGAATCGAAACGCGCACTATAGGGGCCCTAATAATTAGAATAGGGTTTGGGAGTCCATTCTACTATAACCATAATAAGGAACCCCCAAAACCCTATTCTAACTATTAAGGCCACTTCTGTGGCTCAGCGGATTGACGGGTCGGGATTTCGGATTTGGGGCTGCAGACTTGTGCGTGCGAGGGCCTGTGCCAAGAGCTCGTCACTCTTAGGGTTTAGGGTGTAAGGGTTTCGGGTTTAGGATTTAAGGGTTTAGTGGCTTAGTGGGTTAAGGGTTTAAGGTAGCTTCCGGGCATAAGGATCCGGCGCCTTGGGGGGTTAGAACTAAGGAAAGATCGCAACTGAATCGGCTTATCGTTTAGAGTTTTGGGCTTTGGGTAGCAAACTCGAAGCTTTCAAACCGGCTCGATGTGCAAGAACTTGTCCAACAATCCGTCAAATCTTAAACACTGCGCTGCCAAGAGACTGGATGTTCTCGGGATACCCGGTATCCTGAAAGCAAGCAAAGCGTCTCCTACTTTCGCTCTCGGTGCTTCTCTCTTAGAGTTGCATTTAACCTGACGACGTGAAGGCCAGCCACAAGATCATCAGCCCCCACTCAAGTCCCCATCACTTGCGAGCACTCGGCATGAAGGCCAGCATCATGAGCGCCAGCCGCCCTTCGTGGCCTACAACCTCTCCGCCCCTCGTATGGCCAGTACATCTGACTACCCGCCCTGAAAACCAGTATCATGAGCATCAGCAGCCCTTGTATGCCCATTACATCTGACTACCAGGCCTGAAGGACCAGCATCATGAGCAGTGGCCGCCCTCGTATACAAATTACGATTGACTACCCAGCATGAAGGCCAGCATCATGAGCATCAGCCGCCGATTGTGTTTTGACTACCCGGTCCCCGTATGCGCATTACGTTTGATCACATGGCCTGAAAGGCCAGCATCAAGAGCATCAGCCGCCCCTCTTTGCCCATTAGGCATGACTACCCGCCCCAAAAAAGCCAGCATCATGAGCATCAACGGCGCCTTGTATGCCCATTATGTATGACCATCCGGCCTGAAGGCCAGCATCCTGAGCATCAGCCGCCTGTCGTATACCTATTTCTTTTAATTATCCGGCCTGGAGGCCAGCATCAGCCGCCCCTCCTATGGGCACAGCGTTTCACACCCAGCCTGAGGGCCAGCATCATCAGGATCAGCCGCTCCTCTTTGCCCTTTGCATCGGACTACGCGCCCTGGCGAGCATCAGCCGTCCCTCGCATGAGCATCATGAGCATCAGCCGCCCCTCGTATGCCTGGCACCTTTGCCTAACTACATCAGGAGCATGAGCCGCCCTTATCGCTAAGTCCCACTCCCAAAACCAAGCATCAGCTTCGCCTTGGATACACCCTGCGTCTGACAACCCGCCCTGAAGGCCAGCATCATGAGCATCAGCTGCCCTCGTGGGGCCCATCACGTCTGACTACCCGCCAGCATTACGAGCATCAGCCGCCCCTCGTATGCAAATTACGATTGACCGCACGGCCTCAATGTCAGCATCATGAGCATCAACCGCGGCTTGGATGCCCATTCCGTCCAGCATAATAACATCAGCCACCCGTCCTTTGCTCATCATGTGTGACTACCCGTCTTAAGGCGAGCACATGAGCATCATGGCCCGTCGTATGCCCATTGCATATAGTAATATAGATACCCGGCCTGAAAGCCAGCATCATGAGCGACAGCCACCCCTCCTATGCCCACTGCGCTTAACGTCTGAACAACCCGGCCTGAATGCCAGTATCAGGAGCATCAGCCGCTCCTCCTATGCGCGCTGCGGTTGACTACCCAGCCGGAAGGCCGACCTGAAAAACAGCATCATGAGCATCAGCCGCCCCTCCTGTGCACATGACGTTTGGCTGCCCAGCGTCAAGGCCAGCATCATCAGCATCAGCCGCACCTCGTATGCCCAGTACGTTTTGACTACCCAGCCTGGAGGCGAGCATCATGCGCATCAGCCGCCCCTCATATGCCCGCAAATGCCCGTCTTTGGACTACCTGGCCTGAAGGCCAGCAGGACTCCCAGGCTTGAAGACCAGCATCATGAGCATCAGTCGCCCCCATGCAGATTGAGTGTGACTCCGGCATCACCTGATCTGCTGGCCCTGAAAATTCAGCATCATCAGCATCAGGGCTCTGAGTTCGTGCGTCCATTCGGCCTGAAGAGCAACATCATGGGCATCAGCCCCAAAGACCAGTGATCCGGCCTGAACGGACGTGAAGGAGCACCGGCCGCCCCTCCGGCTCCCATTAGAACAACCCGAAAGCCAACGATTAATTGCGACAACTCGATGTGAATGCCAGCCTGGGCATCATCTGTGAACTTCTATGCTGCCTACATGTGACGGCCTTGCCTGAAGGTCTGCACCACGAGCATCAAGCAAACTGGAAAGTAAATGTGCTTAATAACAGGCTTCGAACGGCGTTACACAAGTCAAATCATTGTATCAAGAGTAGCATCAGTACCGGCAAATACAGTGAATGAGACTAGCAGTGGTGGACTCCGCCAAATCCATTTCGACCTTGGCCGGCTTAAATTACAAGGCTTTCGGACGTTGCTGGCTCGAAATACCAAGGAGCCACACGACACTCGAAAAGCTTGAGGGCGCTTCCGCAGGCTGCTCGGCGAGTAAAAAAAAAAACAGGCGCGCGCATTTTCAACGAACCCTTCTGCGGAGCACACGGGAAAAAGACGCCCCTTCATCTCACTCGTAATTTTCCCGAAAGCCTGAGCCCTGAAGCCCTTAAGGCACCAAAGATCCCTGCCCTTGGCACGTGACCGTCCCATGACCCAAAGGGGATCCAACAAACTTAAAAATCGACTATAGGCGCCTTAACAAACAGAATTGTTTTGGGCTCATTTACAATATTCAATATAGGTTCTAAGAAGGACCCCTCGAAATAGTCTTGGTAATTCTTCAGGCATTCCTTTTTTTACGTAGGAGTCCCCAATTCTCCCTGAGGTTCCCTAGTACCCTCCTGCTTGAACCCGCCTCCGTCGCGATAAGATGGGGTTTAGGGTTTACGGTTTAGGGTGTACGGTTTGGGGTTTATTTAGGGTTTAGGATAGTGGAAAGATCCAAAACCCTTAGACCCAGGAGAAATCCGTGGCCACGAAACCCATACAACCAGTTTCAAGAAAACCGGCACAAAAACGTAGAGTCCATAGAATACAATAGCAAGAGCCACAAAAAAGGCGACATTGAAGCTGTCGGGGTCGCAAGTCTTCAAAACTTCTGGGGACCGCGCGAAGGCGATCTTGATGCCCGCATCCTTTAGCTGCCTGCAAACTGCTGGATTGAAGTGTCGCGTTTAGGTTAGGATTGAGCTCCAAACCCCTAAAGCCGTTTAGGGCTCAAGGTTTGGGGGGGGGGAGCTCCGGTTTTTTTTTTGGGGGGAAATCAGGGTCACTGGGCTTTCGGCAGCAATAAGGGGAGTTCATTTCCATGCTGAAAGTTGCGGCTGTTGGCGGGGCTGTGCTGTGAGGAATCACGGACATGCATGAAGCGGAAATCCAGGAGATTCTAGATCAATTTGGACTCCAAAAACATATCTGGAATCTAGAAAAACGGTGGCCTGAAGTAGCCCAGCAGGCCGATGTCTATGTGGTCGATAGCCTCGGGCGAGTAGAACCAGAACAACAATTTCACTGGTAGCAGGGTGGACATGTGTTAGGTGGACTGGGACGGCCCTGCTTAAATACATATACAAACACATGTGTGTAGATGTGTAAATATATATATATGTGTGTGTATGTATGTGTATATATATATGTATATATATATATGTATATATATATATGTATTAGAATATGCGTATATATATATATACATATATATATATACACATATGCATGTGTATGTGTATGTGTATGTGTGTATATATACACATATATATATATATTCTCACGCACTTATAGATGCGTGTCGAAAGAGCATGCGTGGCATTGACGCAATGTGCCGAGTTCAGGAAGCCTGCTATTTCCATGCATTTATGTGCTTAGATCGGTTTCAAAGGCTGTGGACACATTTGATGGGTGTGATCTCCAACTGTTCTGAATCGCAGGCCCCGTCGTCATCTCGTCATCGCCAGCTTGTGTCAACAACGAAATTGCACTCCCCAGACTGTGAAGAGACCACAGTAGGGCCGCTGCCGACGCCTCATTGAAGTAAGCATCATCGATGGCATTGACAAACCTGATGCTGGAATGCAACGATACCAGGAGACATGGCGGGCTGTGCGCGCTTGGAGGTTCATGGGTAAAAAGTGGGCTTATAAACCCCCAAATGAGGAAAATAACTATAGTTGTCCTACTCATTATAACCCCACTTACAACTGCCCATGAACCCCCAAGTCGGAGGACCATGGCTATGACCTTATTTTTAGATGCAAGCCCGACACAAAAACCCTACAGCCTACACCTTTCGATTTTGCCCCAAAGCCTGAACCTCCCTATGAATATGTCCCTAAATCCCAGCTACACCCTAAACCCCAAGTTAAACTTAATTACACCCAAGGCCCTACTCCCTGGTCTCAAGCTACACCCAAACTCTAAACTCAAACACATTCGCTTCCTAGGCGCCACTCGCCCACCCGTGTCACGCGCTCCGTGATGTCCTCGGGTGGCGTGCCTGCCTCAGGTGAGGCGTCACCGATCTCCCTATGCAATTATGAGTTGTGCCAACCTTTCAGCATTGATGCCCTAGGGATGCGATAGCTTGCAGAGAAAACACTGCTCGCACCCGAACAGTAAACCCTAAAGCCTACACCCCTGTGTTGCATGTCGTTGCCTGCCGCAGCAAGGCCCGCCTTGAAGTTCGAAGCCCAAGTCATGGCATGAGGCTACCAGATGATGTGGTCCAGCAATTTCCTTCGCTTAAACCCGGAGCCTGAAGCGTTACATCCGGAACCCTTAAGCCGTATAAACCTTAAACCCTAAAGGCCCCAGGCTCTCAAACCCTAAAGGCCCTGGGCTCTCAAGAAATGAACGTATGCTGGTCGTCGCAGCTAGAAGTGAAGGTGATCGGCATCTGCATGTCAGCACTAAGAAAACAGCCCTGAACTTAAGTGTGGAACGCGACACATCCCCATGAAACCCCTTTAAACACAAATCCGAACAATCCTTTCATGCTGGCTCTGGGGTATCGAGAGAGGAATCAGAGGAGCGCCGGGCCTTCAGCGCAAAGTGCTCGATCACGGCCTCTTTCTTCGCCTCGCTTGCTTCGCGGTTTGGGCTTCTACGGCCACGAAGGCTACGAAGACTACCAACCCCTTCACAAACCTGCGACAGATTGACTAGGATTCTAAAGAGGTAAACCCCGAGCGAAGCTGGCTCTGGCTCGGAGGTCGCTCCGGCCTTCTCTATCGCCTCTATTGCTATAGCTTTTGGGGTTTAGCGGTTTAGGGTTTAGGGTTTAGGGTTTGGGGTTGAAGGTTTTAGGGCTTTAGGGTTTAGGGGTTTAGGGTAGGGTTTAGGGTTTAGGGGTCTTGGGCTTTGGGGTTTGGGGTTCAGGGCTTAGGCTATGGTTTAGGGTTTAGGGTTCAATTCGGGGTTTAGGGACTAGTTGGTGGTTTAATACAGCCCAAAGCATTGCTCTAAGTATTACTGCCGCTATACTAGCCTGAATTACGGTTCGACTCAAACTTTGGACGAGCTGCGCCATGCCAGGGATGCCTGAGTGAGGAATCTGACACTCACAGGTGTGTGCTTGCCGATATTGGGGACTCCTACGTTTTGCCTCTGAGTTGCAGTGCAGGGTGTTGGGATTGGCGCTTAGGAACTCACTGCGGTTTGTTGGCCACGGGTTTAAATGCGCATGCTTCAGCAAAACCAAACAACGAGCAGCAGCATTAATCATTCGGGACATGCTGAAGGCGCTTGCTAGGAGCAGAACACGACATGGTAACGGCGGATTAGCGGTTAGCGCATCCGAAACAAACATACGAGATATTGAAAACCAAAACTCAACAGCATCTTCCAAGATGGGCCCGATTGGGCCCGTGTCGGCCAGAAAGGTCGCGAATGCTTACAGCCCAATTTCCGAGACCCGGAACGCCCCTTACACCTTAATCCTAGCTAGGAGTTACGGAGCATCCGAGACAGCCTTGGCAAAGCATCATGCAGGAGCCCCGTAAGAAAGCCTTGCTGCTATACCCCCAAGATGACAAGATTCACGCTAGGAATTACACTGCGAGCCATAAAGGCTAAAAATTGAACCTGTTAACCTTCACCCTTCACCCAGACGCAGACCTTGTAACAAAAATGCCCAAACCCCATGAGCCCCTAAACCCGAAACCCTAAACCAACACTACCCCAAACCCTAAGCCCCTCAGCCCTGAACCCTCTTAACCCATGGGCTTCCGAATCTATCTATCTCGGCCTCCTGGCCGTTAGACAACAGCCCCCCCTAAGCCCTCACTACGCTGCTTCCCTGTTGGGGGCTACATTAAAAACGATCATTTCTAATCCTTACTAGTGTTTTACTATAATTAACAAAGATGTAAACACTGCATACAACAAGGACCCCAGTACAGAAGCCTCTTAGATCCCTTTCAAAGGAGCCCAGAAAGCAAACATCCTATCTCGGCCGAGCCACATGTCCTCGTCCGACACTTGGAGTCCATCCTCCCCTTGGGCTTTTCGGTTTGCCGGGCAGCTCCCTAGAAGTTTGGGGTTTAGGGTTTGGGGTTTGGGGTTTAGGGTTTGGGATTAAGGGTTTGGGGTTTGGGGTTTAGGGTTTGGGGTTTAGGAACCGTCGAAGCAAAACAAACACTCTGCCAAGCGGCGCATCGCCAACTGCAGCGTCTTGTAGACGATGCCGCCTTCCTGCACAAGACATGACAGCCTCAAAAAGTAACATGGCAGAGATGTGGGGCCTCAAGCTCTTTATGACCCCGGAATGCCGAGTCGGGCTGGGCCGGCGGAGCCAAAGTTAGGGTTTCGGGTTTAGGGTTGTGAAACCCACAACTCGCTTCTGGATCAATGTCGCGAAACAGCGGCCTGCACGGTCGTACCCGCCATGTCGTACACAACGAGGTCTATTTCGTTGAGCAAAGTTCGAGTGGCCTCTTGGGCTCAGCCAGTGAATGGATTCTGAGAACCTACCTACGCAATCACTGTGAATCTGCAAGATCTCTAGTCACAAACGCATGGATGAACTCCAGATCTCGCTACATATGTGTGCTTCAGCACCCCAGCCTCTATGTCCGGGTGTGTGTGTGTGTGTGCGTGTGAGAGCATGTGCGCTGACAGCATATTTGAGTGTAAAGGTATGTACACACTTTCATGTAGCTGTACTTGTACAAGCATTGCCATGCAAATGATATCATGCATGAACACATATGAACATACATACATACATACATACATACATACACACACACACACACAAAACTTGAACATGGATAACAACACGACATGTGCTCAATGACACATATTGCTTTGTCACAAATGAATGTGTATAAAATGCCGAAGACGAGTGCAGACAACAAACATTTGACATGCAATATGTGTGTGCATGTATGTATGTATATACATATATATATATGTATAACTCTCATACACATACGTAGACGTAGATGCACAGTAACTTCACATTGTGTATCTGTGCGAACGAATATGTAAGTATACCAGCGCCAGCATGGCTTTGTCATTGTCGCTGTATGAACGTCCTACGGCTGCGCTTGAGACGACTGCTGCCGTTGCAAATACTCCTGTCACTGCATGGTGCCTGCTGCTTGTAATAATAACAATAATAATACTGATACTAGTAATAATAAATATTATGTGGGTAATGAGACCAATCTTGAGCACTGCAACCTGGGCAACAATTGCTAGCACGAAACTCTATGGACACGGTTCTCTTTAGGCTCTAGCAGCACACACACACACACATACCTGGCACCAGAGTTAGTCCGAAGCACTGGCCATTGCAGTTCGTCATGCACGCACGCATGCACACACACACACACATCTCTGCCTATTGTGTAAGCCTTGTCGGTGCTTCAGCCTTCGCGAAATGAATGTTCGTGGGATTTTGAAACATGGTCACATAGCAGTGCCAGCAGCACTAGCAGCAGCATCGTTTGGCCTGCGTGCCCATACGCATGCACTTGATGTCTGCATGCACACCTACTTATATGACACGATGCAACCAATTTTTCACACATATGTCAAAGCTGTCTACTGCCACGGGCTGATTTGTCATGTTGCGTAACCTCCCTAAACCTTAAACCCTAATTAAACTCAAGGGCTCGGAAGTATGGAACCAACCCGAAACTCCGACCCTAGGCTGCGCTACGCAGGCCACAAACGGAGGACTTCGGATTTTGGGGCGCCGAGGGGGAGCGAATTCTGGTGCAGATGCGTTTAGGGTTGAGGGTTTGCGGACAGAGACTTCCGCATGGAATGCCGCTTCCTGGTGATTTATGGCACTGGGAAAGGACCTGGTGATCTTTGACACTGAATCCGAGACATGCTGGTTAAAGGGCTGTCCGAGAAGCTGTAACATGGGCGCCAAAACTGTACACCGTGCCTTGCGCAGCATAGTCGGGCTGAGTGTGATTGGCTGGTAAGACGCCTGCCACAATCGCTGAAAGCCAGACGTCCCTGACTTTAGTCAGACTATGAGACATCGTCGGCGATGCGCTAAGGCTCCGATCTCTCTTAGTTAGACCTGTGCGTCTGCAGCCTGGGGGCCTTCGTAATAAGAACATGGCCCTGTGAACATGTCTACGTACAAGAGCTATAGCGAGATGAAAACCAACATCGGAATTGCACTACATCAACATACTACACGTAAACCTTTATACTACATCCCTCCCCCCCATCCACCCGAACACACCTAGGAAGACCCCAATGTTGCCGCATATGTTGGAGGAGCCCACCGGCTCCTCCGACTGAAGCACTGCTACAAAAGCTACAACCTCAGATGCTTAAGACTCTTTTTGTTCATTCCGTGCGGTTGTCAGTTGTGTCTTCTCGGTATATGAACACATCTATAACACAAGCATGTATGTATATATATATATATAGATATATATAATTGCATAATATGTCTACATTGTCTGCATATACTCTTTTTGTGTGCATACAGATACACATCATAGCCTTCTCGACCAGACTGCGACATTGCGGCAGCTGCTTGGCCCCGACATTCGCGGCCTCAGTCTGCAGCGATCTTGGGAAAAAAAACGCACCCAACCCATCACTTTCGTTCTTAAACCCTAACCATAGCAACGGCCCAAACTCAGCATCCGAAGCCCTCAAGCTTGGGTTTGAGGTAGTTAGGGCTTCCGGGTTGTAGGGTTTATTGGGGTTTAGGATAAGGTTGAGGGTTTAGGGTTTAGGGTTTAGGGGGCGTTGCGGCTTGGGCGGTTCGGGTTTAGGCTATAGCAGTTGAGGCTTTTTAGGGTTCAGGCCCGTGTAGGCTGCAGGGCGGGATTGTTGAAGTACCATCAGTACACTGGCTCTTGCTGTCGGTAGCATCAATCCTCAAAGCATTCCACTGCTTGTCTTAGCAATGATAGAGGACACCATGAAAAGATACACACTGATAGAGGCATACATGCATACGTTTGCAAGAAAATGCAGCAGCTACATTATTTTTTCTCCGGCTGCATTTGTCACAAAGGTTGCAAGTAGCACCTCTATTCGTGAACAGTCTCGATTATAGAACCCTGAACCCTCAATCCACAGACTCATAGCTTATTAAGGCCTGAACCCAGGGCCCTCAGCAGCAATCCTGCTAAGACCAACCCGAAAATCAAAAACTAAACCCAAAAACCTAAACCCTACAGCCCCCAATACCCTGCAACCCTAAGCCCTCAAACCTTAAAGCCTAAACCCTAATGCCCCCAATACCCTGAAACCCTCAAACCTTAAAGCCTAAACCCCAAGCTAAGCCCTAAACCCTACACCCTAAACCCTAAACCTAAACTTACACAACACCCGAAGCTTCCAGAGGTCCTCTGGGCCTCCCACGAGGGCTCGGGGGCCCGTTGCCGGGAGCCTCGCGGAGAATCCGGGGTCGTCCGGGGGTGTAGGCTCACGTTTCGGTTTCGGGGATTCAGGGTTCTCAGGGTTCAGGGTTTAGGTTTTAGGGTTTAGGGGTTCAGGGTTTAGCGTTTAGGGTTTCGGAGCCACTCTGGTGCAAGGCTACTAGAGCCAGGGTCGTTGCCCCCGGGGTAGGGGGTGCTGATTGCACCGTGGGATCACTTCGAGCCAATGACTTCTCGCATGTGGTCGGACCTGCGGGACCTTTATGCTTTTGCACAGGAAGTATCGCCCCAGCTCGACGGACTCTGTGCTTGCTTTGAGCTCCGCCTTGACGGGCCGGCGGTGGATGTCGGGGATTCCATGTTAACCAGGGTTTGCATTCTCCAGCAACTAGAGGGCAGACTTTCTTCTGGCGAGGTGGCCGTTTCGGACTGTGTGCAGCCTTGTACCAAGGGAGTGCTTCGGTTGCCTTATGCCGTCTGGAACCACTTGGGGTCTAGGTGTCGGACGCTCCGGGCTTTGTGGACGCAGGTCTGTGTGAAGGATGACATCATAGTGCTAGATGCTACAGTCGGCCGCGCTTTTGTTGCGGGAGATATTCAGCTGCAGCAGCACGAGTGCGTACAGGTCGCTGAAGTCTTTTGTGGAGGCTTTGCGGGCTGGACGCAGGCGGCCTGGAGCCTCTCTGACCAAGGTGTTCGGCTTCAGACGTCGTGGCTCTTGGACCTGGAGGAGACCACGGAGGCGCCACTCCGTGCCATGATGCCTGACTTGCAAACTGTTACCACGGCAGCTGAGCTTGATGAAACGGACTTTGCTGATGGCCCTGTTCTGCTATTGGCTAACTTTGAGCATGACTGGTGGCAGGGAGTATGGGGCCGTAGCATGCCTCAAATACTGGTGTGCTCTCCGCCTTGCCAGCCTTGGAGTGCTGCTGGCCATCAGAAAGGCCTCGACTCAGCCGACGGCCGCCTGTTGCTTCGCTTGGCGGCCTTACTACGGGTGGTCCGTGTGCCGATTGTTTGTCTTGAAGAGGTGGCTGGGTTTTCCCGGCATCCTGATTACACCCAGGTGATGCAAGCATGGGAGGAGGCAGGGTATCGCCAGGTCTACCACCAGGTGCTGCAATTGGCAGAGGTTGCCCCAACTCGGCGAGCCCGCAGTGTCTTTGTGTTTGTGCACAGGTCCTTTGGCCCAGGTGCGGAGGTGGACTTCAGGCAAACAGCCTGGCACCAGGCGCGCCGGCCTAACTTGGTCACGATGCATGCCATCTTTCCCCAGCTGCCCCGTGAGCTCTGGGATGCTTGCCAGCTCGACCAGGCCACCATGGAGACATATCTTGACCCTTGGTACTTGCCGCCAGGTTATAACTGTTCTGCAGAAACCGCCTGCAAGTATAGGTTATGTAACCCCTCCCAGCAGGCCAAGTGCTTCATGGCGTGTTACCATCGCCAACACCAACTGCCGCCAGGCATGCTCGAAAGAGGCGGTTTGCTGTGTAGCCTGCTGGCTACTGCTGAGGAAACTCGGTTTTTCTCGTCGGCGGAGATCGCCGGCTGCCATGGTGCCCAACGGCTGCAGCTGTTGCTTCATGACGACGAGGCGTCAATGCGGATTCATGGCAACTGCCTTGCTGTGCCCCAGGCCATGTTGCCACTTGCTCATGCGGTGCAGTTCTTCCCAGGCCATGGAAAAATCGACCCTGCAGCGGCCGTGCACCATTGCATCCAGCGTCGCCTACACGCATGCAACACAGCACTCTTCCACCTCCCCGAGGGCTGGCTGCTGGTCCATCATGAAGTGCTGGGTGACGTTCTTTCTCAGGCCTCGCTGCGCACACTGCTTGAGCGCGGCATGCAGCGCAGCTCCCCGCAGTTTGGCAAACTTCAGGTTTGCAGCAAGGTGGCAGGTGTTGAGGTCGAGGTCCGTGCAGTTCACTTCAGTACTTGTGTGCAGGTGCCAGTGCTGCTTGATGTTTTGCAAATCCAACATGTTGGCCCGTTGCGACAACACCGCTCCAGTCAAGGAGGGGTTGAGTATGTTGCCGTCGTTCATGACCTGGAGCCGCTCTGGCTGGATGCGGCACCGAGTGAGCGGATGCAGCGCCACGCGCCAATACAACTGTGCACTCCGGCCGGGATGGCTGTCATCCAACCCATGGCCACGGACCTGTATCATCAGCTTAAATGGGCTTTTGATCGATGCCGGGGCCCTGAAGCTCAAGGTGTTGCCTGCATGACCTGTTATGGTGCCCGCCTGCAGCGCATAAGTGAGTTTCCACCAGTTGTCTTTGTGGCCACAGGTGCAGAACACATTTTCTTCTCGGCTCCTTCCCTGGATCGCCAACATGTTGAGGCCTGCACTTTTGAGACGGTGTCCTCGACACTGGTCGCTACGGTGCCCGAACCTTATGCCATTGCTTGGTGGGTGCAGCTGCCGTATCATTTACTGGAGTGCGTCGGGTGGACTGCAGAAACCAACGACCCGCCCACAGGTGAGCGAACGCACATGCAAATCACCTTGCGGCCGGCGGTCCCACGGCCGCTGTTGTCAGTCCCGTCGCTTCGGTTGTATCTGCGGGAACTCCTCTTCTTGTCACAGCTGCGAGCTTTGGCCAAGGATGCTGACCACCTGTTGATTGGGCCTTTCTTGGTGCAGGTTGATGCTCGTGCTTTGGGTGAGTTGTGCCTGCCTTCCACGACCACACCTGCCCAGTTTGAGATTTGGTGGTCGATTGCGTGCCGCGCTGCCCAAACCTGGCCCGGGGCCCGACTATTCTCTGGCCCCCGTGCGCTGCCTGTCGAACAGACCCTGGCCGATCTGCTCGCGGCTTCTGCCCTCCATGTTAAGCGCCGCAATGGTCTCCCTTTGCTGACGGTGATGCCGGAGGTCAGAGGCGGAGGTGTAAAGGATGAAAATACCAGCTTGGCCAAGAGCAAACTTGCAACACTCATGCTTGACCGAGGTGTTCCCTTGGACAAAACCCAACATGCGGTCGATGCTGCACTGCCTGTCCTCGGCACGACTGCCTGCCTGCAGGCCTTGAGCTTGCCGGATACTCAGGCCCAGTGGCGCAAGCTTACCTCAGTCGCCCAGGCCCGCGGCCATTCCCTGCCAAGCGGCGACAACAGGACGGAGCGTGCTGCCCAAAGGATACAGAAGGCTGTCCGAAAAAAGCGGTTGGAGCGGCAGGCCCCAGTTGATGTCAACGACTTCCAACTTGTGCCAGACACATGGTGTGGAATGGATCACCAACCGGTGCCTGTCCTCGACAGTGTCACTGCCGATTGCACAGGCGCCGTTCTTCTTGACGCAGCGCAGGCCAATGCCCAAGACCTGGACCTGCTGCGTAACATCGGCTCTGAGGCGCTGTGCATAGTGGTCCCAGGCCACAGGTGTCCTGACCCTGACACGTGCTCCGGCCGCACCAGTGTCCCGGTTTGCCACCGCCTCACCGGGCGAAAGCATTTGATTGCTGCTTGCTACCACAATGTGGGTGAAACTGACATTGCGCCCCACTTCCAGCACGGTGGCCAGGTCAGTGCTGAAGAAACTGTGTGCTGCTCGTTCACCATGTTCCAGGATGACTTTTCTGCCGAGGCCCGGTGGAGTGACTTTGCAGCTGCACCTGTTCGGTCTGTAGTCGAGGCATTTCGGGCCAGGGGCCTGGAACAGGTCTTGCATAATCCCTGGGGCCGTGTGTATCGTGCCAATGGCCGCCCAAGCCAGCCACACCTCTGTGACCAGTTCACGTTCTTTGCTAAAGTCCCGGGAGGCCAGCTGCGTGCCCTGCTTCAGCAAAGCGGCTTCAATAAGGTGTATGTTGTTCCCCGTACCTGGGACAGGCAGCTCCTCCAAGGCTGGGCAGTGGTCTGGTTAAATGCTCCGCGCGGAGACATAGAAAAACAGGCCCTTCTTGTGCCAGAACAGCACGGACTGGTGCGAGGCAAGAATAAGTACGGGCTCAGGGTCCCTGACAAGGCTTTCCGCAAAGTTTTCACACAGCTCCGGCCAGGAGCAGAGGTCCCTGACAACCTGGATGTTCGTGCCACTTACAAAGTCGGCCCCTTCCCAGCTGCTGCCTCGGCCGAGGCCATCCGCGAATGGTCCCGCCGCATTGCTTGGCCCACCAAGGTCATCAAAAGCCTCGGCCCACAGTTCTGGTT